CTGCTATGTTGGCAACTTCTCTACTGACATTCACAAAATCAGCAAGAGAAGAAGAACGTGGTTTCTTCAGCAAAAAATATCGGTTCTTTTATTTAAGACTTTTAAATTAAGTGTAAAGTGAGATTCTGAAACCTTAATAATTTACGCTTGCAGACTGTTCCGGTTAAGAAAGGTTAGACTTCAGAGTCACCCTTTTCCGTTGTTGCCTTCATTTAATTTTAAATAATGACATGTCTCATGGGCTTTAAACAGAACTTTCCAAATTCAATAATAAGAATAACCAAAAAGGTTGCAGGTGGCTGTGAAGCTTCGTACTGCCAAGAAAAAATAGAGGAGTAAAGGGAGAAAAATACATAAAAGATACATTGCATTAATCAAGAACTGGTATCTCCATGTCCTCCTTCATTTCCAACTCTCCAGGCAGATCATGAATGGAAGCGAGTGGGGGACTGTGACGGAAAATAGGATAGGACGTAAACGCACAACTCATTGCAAGCAGAGTTAGTCAGGAAAGTCAGCAAAGAAATAGCAAAAGTAGACTATCGACATGATCTGCTATAATAAATATTTAATAAGGAGAGTTTTCATTTGGCTGATAGCTCACTAAAATAGTAAATTGGTAATAGTATTTTATCGCAGAATCGAGATTTGTTATTTGTAATGAATCATCATGGATAGCTCCCCGTTTCCTCCTTTTCTTATGACAGTTTCCAACTCTTGCTATTTATTATGGTAGTGATTTCGGAGCATCGAGTTACACTGTACTTTATTTTTAACGTTGAAAAGTGTTTTTTCCGTTCCCCTTTACAATGACTATAATCACATCTGCACTATTTAGATGAACTCGCTACTTTTAATCAGAAAACCATACGAAAAAATAAGGAGAATGTAACCTAATGCAAAACTAACTGTTTTCTTCTAAATAGAAATCCTTTTAACCTGTTATAGATATATAAAGCTCTTCAGATATGCTATTTCCTTACAGTTTAATATGTTAAAAAGCCGTTATCCAGGGGGGAAAAGTATTTCCTTACACACGCAAACATAATATACAAGAATAGATTTTCGATATCATCACCATCAATCAGTAACAACACAATGAACTTTCACTTTCTCGTTGAATGAAATATAAGGGCCTCTGACAATCAATATTAGAAAAAACCGATGAAAGAACTAAAAATTTGTTTTTCTCCATCTATTTTTGGGTTCCCTCGGAGGTAAAATTTTAGTCAGGAATAATATGGAGCAGTTCAAAACACGCGTAAGCGGCCGCCAGTACCAAACTTTGAATACATTCTATCGAGTTTCTTTCTCACTGTGTCAAAATAATGATATAACTAGGTCGATTGCACATTTTATCAACCTAAACAAACCTAATAGGCAGGTAATCTTATGTGTGCGAAAAATTATATGGTTTAATTTGATAGACGTCTACAGCTAGAAGATTCCGTATAAGCCACGACGCCAAACATTCTTAATGATTGGCAATGACATATTGGAGGGGTTAATCTTTAATCTCACCTCCAAATTCTGTGCGGAGAGCCTAAGTTTGATTTTAAAGATGTTAAAAGCGATTTGCTTTAATGATACTACTTCAGGCCAGCTAAGCAACATCTTTTGTCTATTTTCCAAACCTTTTCTTTCAATAATCCCATGGAAACACTTGGAGGCCATAGTATCAAACTAATAAAGTTCATTAATTCTGAGAACCTGAAGTTATTTGAGATGTGATTTTCGATTCTAACTACCACTTCAGGGAATGTCAGTTGTCACGTCTCTTGTTGAAAGCTTTAAATGGATCTCTTCTATGCTCGAATCACTGTTAAGTAACGAAGTTAAATGCAGTTCAAGTTCACTCCTTATATCAATGTCTAATAACAAATTCAAATTTTCATTTAAGACATTTTCCGCGAGGAAATAGGCCATTGACATGTTTCATGACCTTCGAGCGTCCTCGAAAACTAAAAGTAGATTAAAAAACAAAACAAAACAAAACAAACAAACAAACAAACAAACAAAATATAAAGTTTAAGTTGCTAGAAGCTCGCTAAGACATGTTATCGTAAATATTTCCTCTTAATTGTGGGGAATAATGATTTCCAGTGCAAGCGTGTCTCATTTAGCAACAGCATCTCCGATGGATCGCCCGTTCGTTTATCTGCTTCGATCAACCACGGAAACGAGTCCCATGTTGTCCATGATCCAGCGTTTATTTGGGTGGAGGAAGTGACGACAAATGACTTCAAAGCTTCCCTCGTAAAAGGGGGCCGAGGCATCGAGAGCAACTCCACTACCATCGATTGGTTTGCGTTTCAGGGTTCCCAGTCAGGAGTACATCAAGGAGAGACTAGTTTTAGCATATTTACCACTGGTTCAAAATGCAAGCAGGTTGCATTTCCTCGAGTAATCTGATTCATATATCAACTGCGTATTGTTTCAGGACTTGAGATAGTCAATAGCTATGCCAACGTATAACGGGGAGGGTCGGGTTACGGGGGAGGGGGGGGTTGTAAATCATGTGGTATTCGGGGGGAACGGAGAAGTATCCGTCTTTACCATCAGAAGTCACTTAAAATTCATTTCATTTCTTTTATTATTTTTATCATTTTCATACCGTGATGACATTCTCTTCTTCTTACCGGCAATGTTTGTGTTGTAATGTTGTAAGAAAATTAGCAAAAAAATTTCGGCTAAAGAGAACGATGTTGACATCATGCTGAAGTTTAGCTAGACAGTCAAACTTTCTCAACCCATTAACAGCTACTTTTATTAAAAATAGATAGAGCAAACTTGAAAAAAGGAGAGGAAGGATAAAAATAATTTTCGTATAACGTTAATCTCATCGAGTTTTTTTAAACTTAAACATTTGAACTAATTGAAAGGGCGTGCCGAAGTAACGATATCACAACTGTTCACAAAGGGGCCTTTCTCGTGGTTGCTTATCAGATTAATCATTTTCATTCAATTATAAACATGTCGAGTAATGTAACTCGGGATGACAACATTTGCCATTTTTAGGCCTTTTCCTCGCTTGCTAAAGTTCACGTTACTGTGAAGCATGGTACTCCAAACCAAATGCAGGACGCCATGAATGTTTGGATCGAGCACGTTTCAACAACTCAGTTTGAAGTTTGTTTGCAAGAATGGAGGAAATTTGACGGACCTCATAGCAATCTATCTGTGGTTAGTAAAAATTATGTCCTTGTTTGCTGGAGTTAGACACTACACACAACATTCGGATGTGGAAGCAGTTTCATGAATTGAGTTGAGTTTATACTTCAACAGAAAGATATATTACGACTATACTTGTTATCTTTATTCCAATTATTTATCTATTTATAATTGTTTTTCTCAATTTGATCTTAAGACCTGGATGGCGTACCAAGGTGACTATCCATCATCATGGCAAGTGAAAGTATCGTCAGAGGTCATGTTCTCTGAGAATGATGGACTAACTTTTGAAACTAATTTTGCCGTGTGCAAGGTATGGGGTATATTCATTCTTATCACACGAGTTTCTATGAAAATAAAAGGAAAATTGTTCTAAAGCTTCCATTAGGGTTCATTGAGTATGTTTGATAGCGGCTTTTATACAAAAAGGCAACACGAACACGATCAAGAAAAGTAAGAGTAATTAAGAGAAAAAGTAGAAGAAGGAGAAGAAGAGAAGATAAGAAGAAGAGAGTAAAGGAATAAGGGAAAAAGAGAAGAGGAGAAGCAAAGAGGAAGAGAGGATTGTGTGCTTGAAAGAGGAAGTTAACAACGACTCGGTACTGATTTACTGATAGTACTTACCACTTTAATATTTTTATGACTTATTCCCTCAGAATGTGCGCTTTCCAAGTCCATACTACTCCCCACCATTAGTACTCGCTACTGCTTTCAATTGTGACTCAAACAATGCTGACCCAGTGTGTACACAGGAAACTCCTCTGAGTGTTTGGTTGGAGGTATAATATCCAATAAATTTCAAGACAGCTACATGTACCGTCACTCTAAGTGCTGGTAGACTTTCAAAATTAAATTGTGCTGGATAAGTATTTTCGTCGGATAAAACAAGATGTGCTTTTCTTACCGCATCGGCAGACAAAAATTGCAAAGAAAAAAACTCGTTTTCCATTATTTTCTGTCGTCTTTGTTGTTTCGAAGAAATCCAATTGGAGCTACACACGTGAATGATATTTATGACCTCAAATACACAAATATGGATTTCTAAGTCTGTACAGGTATCGTTTCTAATTATCAACAGAGGGGAATTCCATTTTCTTGTAAGGTCTACGCTTAGAGTCGTATTCTTGATTTCGAAGGTCACACAGCAAGTAGAAATAGAAGTTACGCAAATCTATCGTAATTCCTCTTTTTCTCTTTGTCAACAAAAGTGGTAGAGAAATAGTTTCCTTCGTGAGCACAAAGCCCCCGCTGATTTTTTTAAGGTACTTTATTTTAATTACCTATGTATTTGCTTCTCTCTTCTTCAATTATCCATCATACATGTACCTATTCGCCTGTTTACTCAACTTTAAATTTTCCTTTACAAGCAGGTGACGACCTTCCACTTTCGCGTATGCATAATAGATGACACTGGTTATGGTGGCCCGCGACACAATGTGACTGTAAATTACTTGGTCATCGGAGGTAACCTCAAGTATTTAACTTCTCGTTCATGACCCTAAATCAATTGATTGATTCTCCAACGAAGATCAGTCTCGTCTTTTTTTTTTTTTTTTTGCTTTTTTTTTTTTTTGTTTGCATCAACATATACTTTTGTCTTTTAGATCTTCATCCTTGCATAGGTATAGAATGCGAGAAATTTGCTCATTGTGTGGCAATATCTCCATACGAATACACTTGCCAATGTAACACAAGCAGCCCTTCTTTCAAAGAAAAGGTCTGTGCTTCTAATAACAGAAGCTGAAATGTATGGATTTCAATTTGATCTTAAGACCTAGTATGACCAGATTTGCGATTCTATTAATGCTGCTCTTCTCACTGCTGCTTTTTACTTCTGTCTACACATTTTACATTATAAACTTAATATATGGTCCCGTGGGAAAAAGTTAGTTTTATTTTCCCGAGGGACCATACATTGAATGCTTTGTTTTATATTTAGACTTTCCCTTAAACAATCATGTGGCAAAGACAAACGTGCTGTTGTATTCTGCGCGCGGGCAACAACTGCGCAATCGCATTCCGGTCAGGATACAATTGAATTTGATCAGGGGCACGTGACCAAGAATCAACCAATCACAGTGCTCGTTACGAAGTAAAGATAAGCGCAAGTAAAAAGTAATTTAGATTTTTCTCTCCTGCTATGAAAGAAAATTCGCCTGTACCTTGTCAGGACATGGAATTTACTCAGAACTACACAAAACCGCCGATAGTTCTGCTTGCTGCAAAGCATTCCACCAGTGGACAAGACTCTGCCGCTGCAGAATTTGATGGAATAGAAAGTTGGGTAGAGATAGGGCTATGGCCATTTCATAAAGAGTGAAGAATTTCTACCGCAGATTTCTCTATTACCTTACGTTTATTATCATTATTTTGATTTTAAGTTTTTTCTTTGCAGTTTATTACCAACACAAGTTTTAGAATGTGTTTCAAAGAACTTTTCATTCAACGCTTTGATCCTCTTACCGTATCGTACGCAGTGTTGCCAGGTTATGGAGTTTTGACAAATTTTGTAAAATAATAAAAATAACTTTGCTCTCATGTTCAAGTAATCAAAGTTTCATAGGAAGTTTTGACATCTGTGTTTATTGTTGTCCGCGGGGGGGGGGGGGGGGGGCAGGAATACCCTCGCCTTTCTGCTGTTAAATTGATTTGGACTTCAGTTAGTGTATGTTTAACTACGAGTAATTTAGTGTTAACAACTGAGTTCAAAACATAAATTGACCACCGTAAAGGACGAAAAAAGCTGACGTTTGGAGGGTTAGCCCTTCGTCAGAGCAATCGAAATCAATTGCTCTGACGTAGGGCTAACGCTCCAAACGTCAGATTTTTTTTACCCTTTACGATGGTCAATGCACGTTTTCAACTCAGTAGTTAACATTAAGTTACCTGCTCTACTCTCCCACCGACGTAGCGCCACAGTTTCTTTATTCATTTATTTCTTTATTCATTTAATTACGAGGTTGTCCTTTATTTTGTGCTTTTTATATGATATTTCTTCTTTGAAAAGCGATAAAAATGATTCCATCCTTGTTAAGCTTGTGTAACTTTCACAGATAAGCTCAAACCTGAAAGCTGACCTCGACCTAGTCGCCCTTTCTGGCTTTCATTTAAGTTTATCAGGGAGCAGGGATGTTTAGTTAAGGCGATGATATAGCGAGCACGCAGATAACAAATCTGCAACTGATTTCCACCGCGTCACCAACGAACGGATTGTTCCTATGTAAGCAATTTAAAGGTATATCCATCTCTTAACTAGTGCTTTCTCCTATTTAAATGGTTTAATTCGTCTAAAAGAAATAGTTAGCTGTTGTGCCTCCGCTAACGCGAGTTCCGCGTAGGAGCTCAGCATCTAATTTCAAGTCAGTGGCTTGTAAAAGTCTTTCGACGATAGCTGCACTCCTTAAAACATGAACATGTAATTCGTTTTATTGGCAAAGTCTTTTAAACCAAAATATATTAAAGTTCACACGGCAACCAGGTGGACAATTAGACATAGTTTGATGCTACTCTGCTTTACAGATTTAATGAATGTAACCGAAGAAGTTACAATTCATAGACCCAACGTCAGGAAGCAAACCGCCATCGTCACGATTTAAAAGAGCGTGGGCAGAGTTTATATGCCAAGCCTCCAAACAAAGGCGTTAAAGTTGCTCAAAAACCTTTTCAGATTTTGGGGCATATTTTCGCCAAACCTAAGGATCCTGTCACGAAAGAACAACGAACCGACGCCATTATCACCACTAATCGGCGTTACCACCAGCGCCTTTGTTTAAAGGCTTGGCATATTAACTCCGCCCACGCTCCTTTAAATCGTGACTATTAAATATTTACACCTCGTCAGAAAAAAAGGCCGCTAATTAGTAATCATATAAAAGGACCTCTTGTTGCAGCGTTTAGATCACCCCTGATGAAGGTACTAGACAGGAGTGTCGAAACGTTGGGTCTATGAATTGTAACTTCTTCCGTTACATTCATTAAATCTGTAAACCAGAGTAGCATCAAACTATGTCTTTTAAACCAAATTTTTAATGCGTGTGGATATATGAAAGAAAAACAGAGGCAGCCTTCAAGTAAATCAGCACAGTTATAGTATTCATCTAATTTTACTCACTTCATTTTAGAAGACATATGTCAGGATGATTGGACGTATTACAATGGATATTGCTATAGAAAAGTCTCGTCTTGTGACTCGTGGGAAAGTAGTCAGGAGACATGTGCTTCCCTGGACGCAAATCTTCCCAGCATACACAGCCAAGAAGAAAATGTATTTGTTCAAAGTCTACACGGTAGTAATCAATCGTGGCTGGGTCTGTCTGATAATTCCACCGAAGATTCGTTCGTTTGGAGCGATGAGACCCCTTTAGACTTCCATTACTGGGCAGAAGGACAGCCAAACAATTTGCACAACCAAGACTGTGTTCACACTCTTGGTTTCCTTAATGAGTTTACTTGGAATGACGTAAATTGTACCGACTGCCACAGATTCACTTGGAAGAAAGGTTGGTGTTAACTGGACCAAAAGCCCCTTGCTATATCCCGGTGGGTGCTTGAGTCTTAGCCCTCAATCCCTCGTAAACAAGAAAACCGGTATAAACGGGGTTACAAAGAGATCTAATGTTACCTTTTTTTGCTCGAAGGAAAGTCATATTGTGCAAACACGGTATATTTTTTAATAGATTGATCAGAATTACTTTTCGTCCAAAATATGTAAAACATATATACTTATTGAAAATCATATATGTGAACTGCGGCTGAAGAAGCGAATATGGAGGCGACCCTCACAGTTATGAACAGAACTTAAGTAGTAGTAGAAATAAGGCCTGAAAAAAAATTCAGGCCTGTGCGGGCTGTAGAGTGCTGCACCGGTATCGGAGAGGTCATGGGTTCAAATCCCATACAGGCCTGAATTTTTCTTTTCAGACCTTATTATCACTACTACTACTACTACTGCTACCTAAGTAGTGTTCATAACTGCGAGGATCGCTTTCATATTCATATCTAGTTATTGTACATAGATGCATTGCTTTTGATTAGTATCTTGCCTCCTCGTAAACATGAGGTTACTTAAACTGGAGTTACCATTATTATGATCATTGCTGTTATTATTATCTCTTTTCATTCCAGATTACAATGAGTGCCAATATTTCGCTGACTCCTGTCCAGCAGGTGCGACTTGCGTGAACAGCTATGGTTCCTTTACTTGTGTATGCCCCACTGGATATACCTTCGAAGAGGGAGACTGTCTAGGTTTGTGCTCTTTTCTGTATCAATCGTTAAAACACTAGACTTCGCGTACTTCACTACCACTTTTTTGGGGTGCTAACTAGGGAAGTGTTATGGGAAATGAGTCTAAGTTTTCCATCCCTTCGGAATGGTAAGATAAAGTAAAACTAAGGGCTTTGACTAGTTTTCAACACGAGTTGTTGATGTGGCAGTTGGAATGAATACAGTGGGCACATTTTGAGTAATAGTAAACACTAGTTCAAGCAGCATAAATACCCTTTGAGAATATCTAGGTTGAAAGGTCTTCTAGCCGATATAAGAGGCAACATGCCTTTACATAAAGTTTATCGTTTTCCAATCGTTATGCCGATGAAAAATTAATAAATTTTATTTATCATACAAACTACTATGTTATACGAGGATTTCCAGCGTTGAGAAAAGCCGTGACAACACAGGTGAAAAAATTTCGTACTTTTTTACGTGTGTTTGATATCGCTAAGCAGCTGATGACACGTCACTCCCCCTTCGCGCCACTCGCCCAGATATAAGAATGAACGATGAAGCCTTCACTATTCTCAATCTAAGGTCGTTTGCATAATCGGATTTTTTTCAGATTATGGCTGCTAAAACACCGAAAAATCCGTACCGCTTACAGAGAGTGACGTTCAAACTTTTCTAAAAGGGGAAAAAACCAAAATATGGAAATAAAAACCGAAAGTTACGTATTCAGTCGCTTTGGAAATAGCATTTCTCGTGGCTAAGGACGAAAATCGAAAATAAAAGATTTGCCACAGGCCGATTTTGGCCGTGTGCCTGAAGGATTTCTCTGTCAGTAAGGACCAAATTACTAACTGAGAATTTTGTGTATTGAAAACTATGCCGATTATTTGGTTTTGTATCGTTTCAACACATTTTTCATCTAAAGCCTTAGCGCCAACCCTCTTTACGATTTTTATTCAGGGACTGGCGATTCTTTTATTTTCATTCATTAATAAAGTTGACTTTTCTTGTCAAGAAAGAGCTATTGTGTTAATATGATAAACAAAATAATACATGGTTCCTTGCGGGGATGAAATTTCTCTTCTCCTGTTCAACTCGACATCTCACTCGTTCGCAGTGCTCACTCGTGAGCTATCGAGTTGAACACTCGAAGAGAAATTCCATATCTACGCACGCCCACGTATTATTCTCTATATCAGTTAAAGTGTATTTTGCTTCGCTTGTCGCTGTGTTTCTGCAACTTATTTAAATTGTTTCAAACAGAGGTAAACGAGTGTCTGTCAGGTTTGTTTTCTTGCCATGCACAAGCCCAGTGTTTGAATACTCAAGGATCGTACGAATGTAGATGCTTACCTGGTTATGCAGGAGAGGGCATTTTTGCCTGTGCAGGTAGGAGGAGAACAAAACGAGTCATAACAACGACTTAACAATCTACAACACACTGCGGCTGAATTCTGTAAGTTTAGCTCAGATATACAGAATAAGGTCAGTCGTAACTTACACTGCAGTCGGTATAAGAGAGGTGTAAATTCCCTCGTGAAAGGTTGGTGAAATGGTGCTTGGCATTTGATACTTTATCCTTTTAAAATATGACTAAAACTTGATATCTGATTCGCTATAATCTTCGTTTTACAGACGTGGACGAGTGTCAATCAAGATCTCATTCCTGTCATGCACAAGCTCAGTGCGTGAACATACAAGGCTCCTACGAATGTAGATGTTTATTCGGATATTTGGGGGATGGTCGTGCCACATGTGCAGGTGATTTTGAAATAAATCTTGCCAAAAAGCATCACACTACTGTATTCTACAGCCGTCGTCACAGACAAGAAACAATGAGCTGAGAAGGCCTTTCATCAATAGATGCCCCTCTTTTAATGATAACTTCTAAAACCTGATCAGAGAGCCCGGTCATACTGAGCGGCTACTTTGGGCAAAACCACGTTCAAACTGATGGGGTGGCATTTCTTATATAAGCTGTCAAAAACGCTTTCAATGAAAGCATCTGACTCCTTCCCAGTCATCTCCAAATCAGGGGTGCTTGAGTGGGAGGAGACAAAAAAGGAAAAACATCAACAACAACAAAACCAACACAAATCATTAACAAAACAATAAACAGTCAAACAAGATAACAACAAAACAGCAAAAAAGGTACTGACAGCTAAAAATAAAGAAAACAAACAAACAAAGACATAGTTCATTTGAAAATGAAGGTACTCGTCCTGTTTTTATTTACGGGAAATCCAACCATGCCATATAAAACACGAGGTAAACGTTCTTTTCTTTTCCTCAAAAAAAAAAAGACGACAACAACACAAAAGAAAACAGCATTCCGAGTGAAATAGGAAAGAACGCGATGGACAAAGAGAGAAAGGGGAAACGGAATTTTTTAATTCAATGTACTTAGACACTATATTACATCGATTTTGTCTTGAACAGACATAAACGAGTGTCAACTTGGATCATATTCCTGTCATTCAAATGCCAGATGCATTAATACACAAGGCTTTTACGATTGTGAATGAGTGCATGGATATTCAGAAGATGGTCTATACACATGCTCAGGTATATATATAAATACTTTTACAGCCAGTCAAATTTGAGTAGTACTACACTAGAGTAGGTTAACATACGTTACGATGTAGACTCGTTTCCTCAGATTTTGGCTATTTGTCCCCATTCCTGCCAGCCAAACATGTATAGTTAAAACGGGTTTAACTAAAGGAAAATCAGAAACACTGAAAAACTGAATTTCCCATTGGTTTTAAATCGTCTCTAACTTGTATATTTGAAGTCGACACAATTGGTTTTAGGCAGCTTCTATAATTAAGAAAACAAATTCAAAACCGTGTTTAACAAAACATCTTTAAAACATGTTTGAGCTTCAATTTGGTATGAATGGGGTAAAAGTATATATAGTCATTATTTGGAATCTGGCTGTTATCTCTTGTTTTCTGACTTCGTTTTTAAAGATATGTCTAGAAATGCATGCAGTAACGGAAATGGCTACATGAAATGGCGAGATGGCGAAAATTCGTCAAAATCGTCAAATCTGCCGGGCTGATTTCGCTTTGACGAATTTGACTGAAATTCGTAGAAATCGTCAGTTAGGGCGATTAGGTTGGACTCAATCATTAGAAAAATGAAATGAAATTTAAATCTAACCTCGACAGATACAAACGAGTGTATAACGGGATCACATTCTTGCGCTTCAAACGCCAATCGGCTCGTACGACTGTGAATGTGAGCGTGGATTTCAAGGGAATGGTTGGTATTGTTCAGGTAAGATGTGGAATATAAATTACATGTTTAAGAACCAGGCCGACGAAAATGTTTAACTCCTATCACTATTCGCTGAATTCAATGCTCCCATTTACTGTAAGACCACATTTCAACACGCTCTTCAATTCCTGTATTCACCAGCTACCTGTCCACAATGACGGCTGTCTTCAAGTGGACTTCATTGATTTTTCTGCGTTTAGCTGCAAAAATTAATTGCATATAGACCCTAAGCTTCACCTACTGAAATATTAACTCTACCAAATACTATTCCATTACCCTCTTTCCACATGGAACAAAAACTGCTGCTGTTCTGCCCTTGGCAACTAAGCGATGCCTATGAGGAAAAACTCCTGACACCTCGATAGAAATTCAGGTGGAATGTTAGCCAAGCTAACACAATAACTTAGCTGCTTCCGTTCACTGCTGTAAGAAAAGTGCACAAACGCACACTCACAATAAGAAAGACACTAATTTCTCTAGAAAGATTGTTTTTGCGAGTGATTAAGTCGGGCATGTACTGATCCTTTTATAGATGTGAACGAGTGTCAAACGGGATTATATTCATGCCATTCAAACGCTCGGTGTGTTAACACAATTGGCTCATATGTCTGCATATGTTTGCCTGGATATCAGGGGAATGGATGGCGTTATTGCAATAGCGAAGGTAGAACTAGAAAAATTCCTATGTCTATCTTTCTTGCTATCTGTCTATCTATCTATATCTAACCAGACGTCATCTAGACATTTCATAATCTATACAATTATCTCTATGTTTGTAATTAGATAAAATACACACGCACTTTCATTGGTTCATGAAGTTGATCAAATGTACGGCGGGATGATTTCAGTTACAGATAACAGATCTTGTAGTTCTTAACTTGTTGTTTTAAAATGTATTTGTGAGGATCAAAACTATGAGGAAACATTTGATGTTTTCTCCGATTAGCCGTCGGTGTTCGCAAATGAGCCCGCGGTCATCCCTATCCACCGACTAAGCGCATGGACCTTGACATTGTTGATTTGCACCGATAGATTTGTCTTCTCGGATTGTGTGGGCAGTTTTGGTTTACACCTTCGTGGCTGTCCTTCGGGAAAAAATTCGTACGCTCGCTAATTTCATTAAAATCATAGCAAACTATACCTCAAAAGAAAGCTTAATAACTGCAGAATATGATAAAAATATAATTTAAGAAAATTTTCTTTTAAAGAAGTGTTAAGGCATGACGATAGACGCCATTTTGAATTATCTTCAGTACTCTATTTAATTAAGAAAAAATATTGACCTATGTACTCATCCTCAGATATTCGATCAGCAAAAAATAGCACGACTTTGGGGAAAGAAGCAAACCTAATTGTCGCAGAATCGAACGGGTGAGAGGGTTTTCCTTCCATACCAAAACCTCAAAGTTTGACCAACGTCATACGAAGAGGTAAAAGGTAGCCTACCGGTGAAGAATGTACGCTAAGTTTCTTGGATCTCCAGTTGCTTTCTGGATAACATGGGGGAAAGTGACTGCACAGGATAAACAGGTTACCAGCTTTTGTCCATCATTTCCATCAGGAGAAGAATTGATATCTTGGACTGAGACAACCCACCACAATTATCACATTTGGCAGGTAATTGCCACTCTTCCTCAGGATTCCAAAACCACTGAAGCTCTGAGAAACGTCTTCCATCCCATATCTCACTTTTGCATGTGAAACCCCAACCATCTTGATTTTCTTGTCCAAGCCAATGATCCTTTTCAAACCAGTGTGACAGCAAATTTTTGCAAAACAAAGGATCACTTGCCCAGAGGTTAATCTTAGGACCTAAGCCAAGATAGTAATAAGGAATAGTTCCCTTTTTGTTACAGTGAGGACATAAATCATCTTCTGATGACATTAAACCAAAGTGACATCTGTGGCTCTCATCAAGGCAAATTATGTACTTTTTAGCATCCCTGTAGCTGACAGAATGTAAAAGTACCTCTGCATCTTTCCAACATTTTGGCCACAAATGTTGATAATGCTCACTAAATCCCATCGTGAATAGTTTCTTTCCCCAGTCCAAGATATGATCAAATCCAATGTTTGGCAATTTTAGTTCAAGCTGCAATTGTAGAGCATCAAGAATTACATCTATTATTTGCTCAGTTATTGTTCTGGTTGGGTCTACATCACCTGCATGAACGTGTAATTCATTCGATTCGTTTTCTTCAGGAGTACCAGAATCGAGACTATCCACGAATGTGTCTGAGTAATCAAACATCTCTTGATCTTGGTCCACGGCTTGTAAAACTTCACTAGATGATGACTCCTCAAGGCCTTCTATTTCCTCTTCGTGCAAGCCTAAATTTCCAGTTACCCTTGAACTGCTATGTTCACGCTTACGATGTCTGAATGCGGTCGCTCTTGAGACAGGCATGCCGTTGCAATCGTTGCAAGCACAATGAACATGCTCTGACTGGGAATCCTCGCAGATACAAATACAAATTTCCCAGGTTGTATCCACGCAAAACGCCATAATTTGTCAAATCTCGAGTTTTCCTTGATTGCCTCTTAAGTTAAAAGAGGGTTTCCCTTGCCTTTCGAATGATGCATGAGGAACATTTCGAATTATGCACAGAACTTTTTCCTGTAACACTCGATCGTGCGCGCTCATCCGCCATATTGAAATTGAGCCGACGGTGAAAATATCAGCGGAGATGTAAATTACCGAAAACGTGACTAAACGCCACCAATGAGAAACGTCCAAAGAACAGAGGCGGGGAAATTAGCCACTCAAGAGAGGTAATATATTACAAAAAACATTCTCGCGCGCTTTTTTTAGCATTCAGTTAAAGGAAATGGTGGGCGAACACAGTGAGAGTCGTTCTCGTGCTTTTCTAACACCAAGACTTTCCTCTCCCGACGATTGTTTCTCATCCCAAATGGACAGCCCTGAAAGTGGAGACACTGATGATGTATCAAGTGAAAACGACAGCCTACGAACATATACACAGAAACAAAAAGTTAGACCAAAACAGCTTCCCTTTCCCGCCAGTTTGCTGGAAGGAAAAAGTGATGATGTTATTGTTTCAGATATAAATGTCTCTGGTAAGTTGTCGTTTAGTTTTCAATTTCGAAATTAATGCGAAATGATTCTCTTCTGTAATTCCCGATTGACAGTGGTGTTTTTTCAAAACTTCAGAGTGGACGTGCGAGGAAGTCAAGGGGTGGGTCATGAGCATCTTCAACGATGAGAGCATTGCGAAGAGATTTGTGGAAGAGGAAATAACCGGAACTACTTTACTCTCCCAACGCATTCTAAACGACAACTCGATGGAAAGGCTTGGCCTTAACACGATTGGGAAGAAAGAAAAGTTTTCTTCATCAGTTCAGAAACTAGGTTAGTAGAATTGAGCTTAAATATTTTAGATTAAGCTTACTGTGAGGCAGACACAGGGAGAAAAATGGTTTCTGTGAAACATTTATAATCCGTAAGCTTCTTTAGCCCCACTAGGCGAAAAATTTAGCATTTGATCACAAAGGATTAACTGGGAGAAATGCTTTCTTTTCAGTTTCCAATACATCTGTCAGTGAAGTTCTCGCGGGCTTCATGGTGTCACGTGGCTTTTCCCGCTCTGAAAGTGATTATTCCAGAGTAATTTTAAAACGTTTTCTTTATTTTTCTCATGGCATGGGCTTCTACCAGTAACTGAATTCCATGCTTGTATTGTATATAGCTTGCATTGTCGATGTCCTCACATGGTTCTCTCCTTTCTCTTTTTTTTTTTTTTTTTCTTTTTTACTAGTCACTAAAAGAGGATCTGTAAATGCTTGTACTTCTGTGGCGGGTAAACAGCTGGATGGCAGACAAAAAGGAAAACTAACCCTTCCAGATATCAGATCTCTTGATCCTGCTACAAAGTCAATTTACCTAACAGTGTAAGCATGATGTAACTACAGTATCACTGTCATAGAAAATGAATGTTTTCAGTGAAATGTGAAGAAAAAATATTTTGCAAGGCCTTTAGTCTCCGACTGTGAAGATCATAACAACAGGCATTTGCTTAGTGTTGAGTCAAATCAGACCAATAGATATTCAATATCTGGTCATTTGCACATGGAAATCATGGTACTTGAAGCTTGTATGTGGTGGTATTTTTAAGACTATTTATCTTCTTACTCTTTCTAGGGTATTTTGACACTGCTAAATATCATCCAATACTCCTTGCCTCAAGAATTAATACTGCTGCATTTATTACTGTTTTAAAGCTACATCCTACTAACTTCTTTTTTTTTTTTTTTATTCATTAGACGAACACGCATCCGTAGGGCCACAGAAAATGAGTTTCCTGGTAATAGTATTCCAACATTTAGAAGCAATCCAGAGGCAAGAAAACGACTAGACAAGTTAGTGAAGCAACTGGCCAATTCATGCTCAATTGAAGAAGTTAACTTTGGAGAAGGTACACTGTAGCTACATGTAGACAAGTTGTTTTCGCTTCTAACAAATTTATTATTATAATGTTTCAAACTTCCATCATGTGTTTAATTGCAGAGGGTATCCGGTCACATACAATGTCAGTGCTCAATGAAAGAAGGAGGATGGTCACCCTCGGATACAATTATGAGGAAGTATGTTTAAACAAAGGACCCCTCTCCATATTAACTTATTTAGAAAAGAGGAAGCTACCCTTAACAGCATACATTTTTTTGTGTGTTTATGTGCAGAGTTGTTCTCTCACATGTACTATATTGAACACATCTATTTAGGATAAAAGGAAGTCAAGCGACAGTACAAGTGAAGGTGAAGGAAGCCCACCGTGCTCACAGATGAAAAGGCACAAAAGTGATCACAAGTCAGATAATCAGAGTGACACTGAAGATTCCAGGTCAAGCAATGCTGACGATAACTCTGAAGAAGGATCAGGCACAAATGGTAATCGTCAATTATAAATTTAAAGGGTAATGTGTAGTTCCATAAAATATTCATACCTCCCCCACAAAAGGGATTCTTTTACAAGAACCCCCACCCCTCTGGAAAGTCCAATTAAACTTGATACATTTCTTTAAATTTTTTGGACTTTGAGAACCCCACCCCTCCCAGGAATTTCCAATCCCTTCTGTAGGGGGAGTATGAAGATTTTCTGGAACTACACAATGACATAATTTTTGTTTTATTTCTTTTGATAAGTTTAATTTTTCTATAGCGAGAGATTAAGTTCCAGTCATTTCTTGCATTGTTGTTTTCAGTGGATCAGAGTTCGTGCAATAAACTCTCAGTTAAAAGTGCTGAAGTCATCACAATGGCAGTATTTAAAGAAACAAAAATGAAAGATGTAAAACTACACACGCAGATCCTACCAGCTTGCAGATATCTTAAAGTTGCTGGGGTCAGAGGGAAATCTAAGCCATCAGTAACAAAGCTTCTTGCTCAAGCATTTATTGACAAGGAATATGTAGTTGTTAATGAGTTAGAAAATTGCAACTTGGCCAATTTGACATTCAGCGATGTAACCGTGTCTTTTGATAAGGACATTGTATCAGATATAAAAGAGTGGCTGAAATAGGACTTTTCTTTTTAGTTCTTATTTGGACTACCAAGGAACAGTTAAGCCAAGGAAAACTAGGAGGAAGAAGAGGAAGTAGTGCATGTACAATTATCTCTATATTTCTTGCTTAATTGGCATC